CCAAGGCTCAGTAAAGTTTGATAACCTATAAGGGTCATTTTCCAATTTTCCTAGGCAAAATTAAATTAAATTAAATATTCTCTTGATGTAATTTAAATATTAACTAGATTTTAACTTTTTGCAAGTTAAGGATTATGATACCTTAATGTCTCTCTCTCCAGTCTGTTCCCACCTATCCTTTCTCACCTGTCCTAACTGGAATAGACTGAGTATATATTAAATCCACCAACCCTACTTACCAACTGTGGTTGCAGTATTTCTGTGAGTTGGTTTCTTCATCTCTAAAATTGGTATAATACATTATCTGCCCCCCAAATTAGTTAAATAAGACAATATAATTAAAGTGCTTAGGACAGTCATGGTAAGCATTCAATGACATTAACAGTTGTTAATATTATCATCATTATTATTATTAGTCTCTCACATAGGCTGAAAAATAAGAAAGTTGATTTGAAATCAAATTTTGCACCATATTTTAGAGATTGGAATGTTCCAAAAATATCTTGGATGCTCAGATGCCACAAGTGTCTGGTTTTCAGTTACATCTGGGAAGACTATTTATTTAGAACATTTGAGATAAATAAGTGTGTTGAGAATGGAGAGAAACAGTTACTCTCATTCATTTTGGCCTCAAATAAAATGTGGTATAAACATTTTGGAAAACAATTTATTATCAGTATCTCATAAAACTGAAGATGCATATGTCTATGGCTCAGCAAATCTATTCCCTGAAACAGTCACTACAGTAATTCTTACATTCCTACCCAAGTGCATATGTAAAAAATACTTATTATAGTGTTACTTATGATAGCAAAATACCACACAGCTATGAAAATGAATAAGTTGTGCTAAAAAATCAACATGGATTCATCTCCAAAGTGCAATGCTGAGAAAAAAGAGCAAGTTGCAGATGAATAATGTATATGCTAGCGTTTATATAAAATTTTTTTAGACATTCAAAACAATGTTATATACTGTTTGTGGATATATTCACACAGTGGCAGGAAGAATAAAAACACAAATAAAAACAGATAGAAGAATAAATGCATACAATGGAGAGATAATGTACAAAGACAGGACAGTAGCAACCTCTGAGGTGGGAAAGTGGAGAACAGGATCAGGGAAAGTGCTGTATTTTTTTTTTAAATTTCTAATATCTTATTATTTAAGCTGGGAATCTTTGTGATATCTGCCTATCCTTAAATATCTATCTACCATGTATTTTACATATTAGGGAAACATCTAAATGAAGTGCCCTTCTCAGTAAAAGGAGAAGACACAGAAAACTCCACTTTAAAATACATAGAAATCAAACCTGGTAACTATTCTCCTGGCTAAAGATGAAGCTATTTTCATGAAAGACCCAATAAAGGAGTCTCATCTCTGAGCAAGATGATGACTACAATAATTAAGAGATAATTCTCCAGAGAAAATAAAATCTTAGGAGGAAATAGTCAACCTCCTCTCCATCCCTTTCCCTAGATAGCTGAAGTTTCTCCACTTGTACTTGAATGGGACAGGAAAAAGAGCAGGGCTAAGTTTCATTTTAAGGAGGGATGTGCTTGCTGTCTCCACTTCCCTGGCCAACTTTGATGGCTTTCTAAAATTCCAGTCCCATCTGATTAACAACACAGCTTCCCTTTCCACTGAAAGGTTGATTTGTCTTATTTTCAAATTACCTGTAGCAGAAGGGATTATTTCCTCAGCAAATGCTAGCTCTTTCTCTTTTGTCTCAGTGTCACTGTAATTCTCTTAGGCCACCAAACTTAACAAGAGCAACTTGGGGGGTGTCTTTTTATAATTATTATTTAGTTTTCTTTTTTACTGAATGGCTTCCTCATCCCTCTCTTCTTTTCCATTTTCATCCCCAGCACCCATTGTTCATCCATGCTCAGATTATTAAGACCTATGCCCAAAGCACTCTGCCTGAATTCATGTTCCCGCTGCTCCAAACCACTTATAAGCCATTCCTTAGATGATCTTCCTAAAGCACAACTTTCACCATGTCCCTGGGTCAGGATACCACCTAGAAGCTGAAGTCCAGATCTTTTTAAAGCTTCCACAATCAACCTTATTCCAGCACCATTGTCCAAAGATATTCATAGAATACCAAATGTCCTTCCTTCCAAGCTATACATAAACATAACTGATTCCATTTCACTTCCTAATTTTTGTATTTGACAGTGCCTCTATTTCAATATTTCCCAAACTTCATGCATTCTGGCACCTTTTCATGATTTTTCATTACCAAGTATGATCTGAACTATTTTTTACTTAATATTCTCTGTAAATCCACTCTGATTTTAGCTCAGATAAGTATTATAAAAATAAGGATAAATTAAAAAAAGGATAAAGACAAATTTATTTAAAATAAAGATAAGTATAAATAAAATTTATGTATTTAAAAATAACACATTTCTAGCAGTATCATAAATGGAAAAAAACAATGTCTATTGGAATAAAAGGCAATACATACAAAAATAAATGTTATTCTAAAAGTTAAGTTACAATTAAATACCTCTTGCCTGCTAAAATCATTGACCCTGTTACTTACTCTATAATTCTTACAAAGGAGAATTAAAAACAAGTGTTGGAAGCGAGTGTTAGTTGAAGTTGTATCAACAACAGTAATAAAACTCTGTCCTTGAAAAATGGAAAGAAATTTGAAAAACATACTAACTTTCCTCACAGCATTACTCAATGTTTTTGATTGTCCATTCTATCTGTTTCCTAAAATCATTTCATCCATGTGAAGTTTGGGGAATACTGCTTTAGATGAGATAGGCTCTTCATTTTTTTCTGCCTTCCAGGTCTGGCTAAAGCTCCACACTTCCCATGGTGTCCTCTTAATATTCAGTAGGTCATGGCCTCCCCTTTCTCAGCTATTCTGGGTACATGTCTTTTCACTCCATTCTGCTTTTGATGGGCTCAGATAAAAGTTTGGAAGTTTATATCTTCTAATCTCCAATGATGACAGTTCAAGCAAAGATTTATGGCATTCCTTTTATCCCCTGATATTAAGCATCACATATTCTAAGGAGTGGGAATTAATGAAGGGTGATGCCACGAATAGTAGGCATGATTAGTGGATTAGTACTTCGTCCCTTTAATTATTTATGAATACATTTCTCTTAGAGTAGATCAGGATCCCCTCAAGGACTAAGTCTCAGTCACTTTAACTCCAGGGTCCTGCCCAGTGGGAGAACATTGCAGGATTGCTAGAAGTAGTTGTTAAATAAATAAACGACACTTCCTAGACAAAGTAGGGCAGAGACAGCATTCAATAGCAAAAACAGTGGTCTCTTTTGGCAAGTATTTATCAAGTACTTCTGCAGCTTTCCCTCTGCTGTATTTTCATTCTGATGTTACCTGGATTTCCTGACGTAGCTTCCGAGAGGATTTAAATTCACGCGGTGTATTACATGTAAAACCTTGCACACTCGTCACAAACACATGTTGCTATGACCTTCGGTTATCACTAAATACCCTAGGGGATAGTCTTAATAGACAGCTAGGAATGCATATGGTCTTTCAAGAACAGATTTTCCAGACGTTCAACAATGACAAAGTTCCAAGATTCAAACCAAGAGAATTCCAAGTTGCCTTTTGTCCTCCAAATTAGCTAATACATTTTAAGATAACGTGGCATTTAACAGATCCTGTCTTGACAGTCTGTTATTTCTAAGACACAGACACATAAAAATAATCTGTTTATAAATAAGCTACAATGAAGGTGAGAAAACCTGAATAAATAATGCAATTGAGATATAACTAATAATTATGACTTCTTAATTCCTAGATTCTATACAGTACCCATAAAATCATATTGAATATCACTATTATGAATTAGAGATAATCACATAACTAAGTTAAGGAGAGTATTAAAAGATGACCATTAAGGTGGAGACAACTTCAAGAATATACCAGAAATTCATCATCATCACTATTAATTATTGGAATGTAAAAAACAGATACTAACATAGGTGATCCAATATCAATCCTCTGAAAATGGACTTAGACATTTTTCAAGAGTGAGGGACACATTAATAAATTGGAGGTACCAGAATTTTGACCACATGCTCTTTGATCTATTTTTTTAAATTGTGGTGAAAAACAACATAAAACTTACCAACTTGACCATTTGTAAGCATATGGTTTAGTGTTAAGTATATTTACATTGTGTGCAACCAATCATCAGAACATTTTCAAATTGCAAAACCGAAACTCTACACCCATTAAACATTTCCTATTTTCCCCTTCCCCAACCCCTGGCAGCCACTAGTCTGCTTCCTGTTTCTATAAATTTGACTGCTCTTAATACCTCATATAAGTGGAATCACCTTATCACATTAAAAAGTTTATTTAATCTGTTTTTGAAGATTAGTTGAAAATTAGGAAAAAGTCAAACTTATCCTACTTCAGTTATTATCTAATCAACTACTTAGTACGATGCAAATTTCATCCTATTAACCCAATGAGGTAGATTTCATACCGATTCCACAAATGAGGAAACTGAGGCTTGACCAGGTGAAACATCTTACCAAAGGCCACACATCTGATAAGTAGTGGAGCCACCAAATTCAACTTTATCTGACTTCAGGGCCCACAGTCTTCAACTCACTTGGTTGTCTTTTGAAACAGTTAAAAGTTTTCAGAGGATTTCAACCATCTATGTATATGAAGCAAGCCAGAAACAGGTGTGTGTGTGTGTGTGCGTTTCTAATTTGACTTTGAATGTTGCCTATCTTCTTCCTCTTTTTATGAATTATTTTATTCTAGATCATTTCTCGAGTTATCATTCTAGCCTCTCAAAGTTTATTCTTAAACCATGTCCTACAAAATCACTGAATATCAGTTACCTTCTCTTTTTTCTTTCCAGGCAGGACTTACGCTGGAAGAAGCATTTAGTTTGTTCAATTCTTCTGGAATTTACATGGTTTCCTAGTGTGTACTACATAACAGTAGTGAAAAGATATTAATTTTTTAAGAACAACACTTACAGTTGTGGAAATGAACCCCAGCTTCTTCAGTTCAGGAACATCATTTTTGTGAATGGAAGTCACTCTACCAAAACCCAGGACTCTCTTCAAATGTGTCTCCCTCTGTGTGTAGTGGCTGAACTGCTGCTTATCGAGCCACCTGGGAATAGAAGTCCTCCCACTGTGACTCCAAGGTTGCCCAACCAGAAACCCTAAAAGGCAAAAGAACTACAATACCCACAATTCAGACTCCTCACCTGAAACCAGGAGAAGAGGGTGGATGGTTACAGTTTCACTCTAGGGGAAAAGGGTATATAAGTAAAAAGCAGAACAGTAAAGCAAAGCATTAAAACAGTCAGGTCAGGTGGGAATATGTAAGAATAATTTGTAAATATAGACCTATTTCTATAAAAGGAAACAAAAGTGGCTTGATGTTTGCCAAGGTGTAGACAAGAACTAAAAACTCCTCGTGCAAACAAATCCTCCTGCAGAGGTGGAACCTGCCCCACCAGATTCTCTTTGAGTGAGTCAGAGCTGAGGAAGCCTCACTGCCTGGTGGAGCAGATGAATGAGAGCGTCCCTGGTGTTCTCCTACATCAGCACTGTGATCTTCACTCAGAGGTGTGACAGACACAGTGGAGATCTTTGACCTTTCATCTGACAGAAATGCCCTGGATTTTTTTTTTTTTTTAATGTGCTTTCAAAAATGTGAGCAAAATGGAATCCCTTTTTGATATTTCCTTCCATTTTCTGATTTTGTGTTTTCCTTCTGTATATTCTAGCATTATTTCTGATGGCTCGAAATTCAAGGACAAGAAAATTGAAGGGGAAAAAAAAGAAAAATGGATTTTTAAAACTTGGGTAAAATGAAAGGTGCAATGATTGTTTCACTTCTTTGCAACTCTGGGAAAAGAGAATGTTAAAAAAGAAAGAAAGAAAGAAAGAAAGAAAGAAAGAAAGAAAGAAAGAAAGAAAGAAAGAAAGAAAGAAAGAAAGAGAGAAAGAAAGCCAGCCAAGGAATGTGTTTCCTCCATTTGCTCATACAGCATCTTTTTCTACCCTTTCATTTCCTCTTAGACACAACCCAGAAAATGGATATAGACAAGCCCTGGCTTGCCCTGGGCCCCAAAACATAATGGGAAGATCCACCTAAAATATGCAGATGGTAGGGCACCTGGGTGGTTCAGTCTGTTAAGAGTCCAACCTTTGTTGTTGTTGTTAAATCATCACCTCACTGTCATGAGATGGAACACCATGACTGGTGTGGAGCCCGTGTGAGATTTTCTCTCTCCCTTTCTCTCTCTGCCCCTGCCCCTCTCCCTCTCTTAAAAAAAAATAAATAAATAAGGAGATGGTGTAAAAGTGACAAAGGAGAAATTTCTTTCCCTTTTCTGCACTTCCTCTCTACTCTTTCTAAATGCTGCCTCCCTAAGGAACCATGAAGCTTCATGTGCCCATGCTGCTTAACCCATCCAGAGTTCTGTTGAAGTACCCCCTTGGGTGGTCCCACAATCCAAAGGGTGCTATTTTATCTGCCTTTGTCACAGGTCCTTCAATCTTCTGACTAGAAGCTAAGTTGTCTTTTGCTATTTATATTCCTTCTAGAACAAATGGCTCTCCATTTCCCCAGACCCTACAGACCTTTGTTCTCCATGCTGTTTCTTCTCCCTAAAATATTCTTTGCCTACATTTAAATGTTCAAATCTTTCTTTCTTTCAAAGCTCATTGAAAAAACACTCTTCTTTAAGTAGCTCCCTCCAGTCATTTATTTTCTCCCTCCTTATGAATTGCATAATATTTTTCTAGTCTTCTCCTAACAGTTTTTATACCTCGTTTCCTTGATTGTGTGTGTGTGTGTGTGTGTCTGTGTGTGTGAAGGCAACACCTTCCAGTAAGAAAGCAACACCTTGTTTTATTCCTACTTCACTAACTCAGATAAATAACCAATGAATGAAATAGTGAGATATCAACTCTAAGCTGGATGTTAATACCAAAGCCATTTCTTCAAGATTTGTTTATTTGAGAGAGAGAGAGAGAAAGAGCGTGCACATTCACAAACGGGGTGCGGGAGACAAAGGGAAAGACTCTCAAGCAGACTCTCTGCTGAGTGTGGAGACCATTGTGGGCTCAGTCTCACGACCCTGAGACCAGAACCTGAGCCAAAATCAAGAGTCAGATGTTTAAGTGACTGAGCCACCCAGATGCCCCAATACCAGTATCATTTCTATCTGTCCCAGAAAACAAACATTTACTTTTAAAGAACTCTCAAATTCATGTAAAGAGTACTGTTATCAGAGTCCCCCTGTGGTCTAGTCTGGTGTGGCTTCCATAATCTTTATTTACAGAAAGGTAAGGTATTAAATCCATCAATTTAACTCCTGACAGTGCCTGAAATGAAGGCTCTCATGGACCAGCACTAATTGTTTCATGGCTATGCTTCATGTGGTACACCCGGCTTTCTTAACAGCTTCCAAATACTGGCCCTCAGCCCCATGACTGCATGTTGGACAGTCAGCCCTGCCTTCTTCTATGATTTTGATCACTCAAGCATCTCTGGCTCATTTCCCCTATAATCTAATCTCCCGGCTCTCAACATAGATCTCTGAACTTTGGACTACTTAAAAAAATTCCTAATCATTAATCTCTTTCACCCAAGGGAGGTAAGTCTCTTGCCACTTGTTAGTTCCTTAAACTTCTGCTACTATGGGATTTTCTTGGTCCCCACACATTACCCTGTCTTTTAGCTGTCAGCCACTGTGGAGGAAGTGAACCTTCTAGATCTTGCTGACATACAATGATATTTCTATGAACCATCAGACACAAAGGCAGGCTGCTGAAGGTGACTGTTAGCTGGAATGGGAAGTCTTCCTAATTCTTCTCTATCATGTCATAAAGGCTGTCAGCCCCTTAGCCTGCCTATGGGACCATAATCTAAATGATCTAAAGTTGGGCACAAAGTTGATGGTCAGCATATACCGCTGTGTCATTTCCTTAAAAATCTCTTTTCTGATCTCTTTGCCCCTACTTTTCCCCTTACATGTTTCTAATTTATGGAGATGTCTCACTGGGTTGACTTTTTTTCACACTAATCCAAGGTGTTTTCATTTACCCGTGAAACCATGATCACTTGCAGCCATAATATTTATTGTACCTAAAAAATAAGTAGAATATGGACAAACGTTATTTCCTGACAGATGGAAATGGGGTATGGAAAGCCAACCCTATTGATCCCAGGGAAGCAAGCCAAAGGTGGAGTGGAACTCTGAGGGATGCTTCAGTAGAAACAAATTGGTAGTTGTTGAAGAGTCAAATATACGGGAAGCAGAGGCTCCATGTTCAGTCACACAGTTTACACTACTGTATGCTTTCTTTGCCCAGTTGGGATTGCTAACCAGGTACTAACTATACCTACATCCCTAAGTGTTGGGATGTGAAGATGCCAAGAGGGCCAGTGGACATGCAGAAGCCAGGGGTTAGGCAAAGAGGCTACACTGTGCCTTTGTGACTATAGAAAAATGGGAAATCATCCATTGATGTTTGCCATGCTTGTACAATGTTCCCAAAAGGTCCATTGGCCAAGCACCAGAATCAAACCAGACAACTCCACAGCAGGTGGCCAGACAAGACCCAGATAGCATCACATGGACTTCAGGCCCCCTTCTTTTTTCCATACCATAATGTTATGTCTCTCCTCCTACCATACCCTCAAGTACAATCATGAAGAGAAACCAGAGAATAAGGACGAGAAGAAACTGAAAATAAAATAGGAGCCACCCAAAGAATTATTTAAGCTAAAGACTGTGATGTACTAAACTGTAAATTTTTTAATTTTTTAATTTTTAAAAAAATTTTAATCTTTTATTAACATATAATATATTATTTGTTTCAGGGTACAGGTCTGTGATTCAACAGTCTTACACAATTCCCATCACTCACCATAGTACATACCCTCCCCAGTGTCCATCACCCAGCCACCTCATTTAAAACCTACTTCACTACATCCACACTCTAATAGTGACAATTGACATGGAAGCTGAAACGGCAATGACTCATCGACCCAGCCAGCCTGGTTGATAAGAGCAGAGCACTCCGAATACCTAATCAGACACAGCCATCTGGGAGCTGGAATTAGGAACGGGCGACACAAAGAAGTAGGGATAGGGGAGAATCCACTCTCTTGAACAGAGGCAGTAGTGTAAACAATGTCCCACACTGAATGTGGCTGTAATGGTCATGGAAAGTAGGGTCTAGGACTCTTGATGTTGATCATGCAAACTATGGTTTCTTGGGCTAACAAAAACAATGAATTTATCCAATGGCATTGTTTTGGCTGCTGCTCTGGCTTTCCAGCAACCCCCTAGAAATTATGGGAGGGAGTTTGGTGTGTTGCTTTTCAATTTATATCAAACTCATTTGCTATTGCTTGGAAGTAAAAACTCCAACTGATACATACACCTAACACAATTCTTACTTCAATGACACAGAGAGTACCTCTACCTACCCTATTATTGTTAGACTCCATCAGATCAAGGACTGGATCATATTTCATCTCTAAATACCAAAAACTCCACAGCGGCTGTTGACCTAAATTAAACTGACCAGTAAAATAAGGAAGCCTTGCTTACAGTTCCTTCTAACTTTAAAATTCTTTAACTACATGGAAGCTGTCAGTTGCTTATTAATGCAGAGGTAAGTTTTTTCTCCAGCTGTTTAGAATTTAGGCTTTATTCCCTCTCTACATCTAGTAAGAGAGCATAGCTAGTGATTTCCTGCCTCCAGAGGGGAAAATCAAACACACAAAAAAAGGGTGTTACTTAATAATCAAAAGGGGATTTTCTTGGTATCCTTCAATGACCTATGTTAAATGTCACTCATGTTTGGTCTCTGTAGGACAAATATACCAGAAAAAGTAATAGGAAACAGCCATATTCCCCACATGCTCAGATATTTCCCAGTATGAGGTTATCTTGGAGAGAAAGGCCACATTTGAAGCTTAGAAGAAAGTTCCCCCAGGAGTTTTTTCTCTGTTGTCTTTCACTATTATTGACTCTCAGACCCCTGGGCTGCCTGTGATATCCGTTTTCTGGGTCACTTTGTCTCTGAGTCATGATCATACTGTAACTTTCCAAAAACAGTTAATAACTGTGCCATTTACCAGTTAATTTCAGTGAATA